CTTGAAGCGTTAATACACCTGTACTATGACAAACATTAGGACATAATAGAGCCCAGCTAGCATTGACTTCGGGTGCACTGCAGGGTGTTTGGAGCAGAGTGTAGATCACTGTCCCACGTTCTGCAATGCTCCCGAAGAAGATGCTAGCTATGAGGGTAACTCTAAAATATAGGAGCCCAAAAAGAAACTACCTCTAGCGACCAATCAAGTGTGTCGAAACTAGACAGGTGCAATTTGAAATCAATGTCTATATACAAGTAGTGCGATGTTACCCAATCCTACAAATATGGGGATAATCGTGTTAAAAATGGGACATTCCATTGAGAGAATAAGGGGACAAAATTCGGAAATGCGATGGTTGTCCCCTTTACCCAGACGCCGCACATTGTCCCCTTTTTAGACACATTGCCCCCCTTTTTTATAGGATGAAGTAACTGCATATGTCTAAGCATTTTAACCTGAACACCACAAAGTCCCTTCAGATAAGCTGTTTTTAATAATAAGTGGTTAAAAGTATGAGTTGTTAGTGCAGCTTCCATGTCCTTCATAGCCACAGATAATTCCTAAAGGAACTTAGAATACCTTAGCAATCTGAAAATGAATGATAACAAGGACTGGCATGATTTCCGTAACAGGTGTAATAGTGATAGGATGTACTGAAAGCTAATCTTCGACAGATGGGTAATACTAATTGTAAGCACTTTTATGTTTGAGAAGGACCATCGGCTGTGTTTCTTAATGTGCTCTATTGAATGACTAGTTAGGGGATTGCTCTCGCAAACTAAAGTCAAAAATTGCAGAAACCATGTAAACTCAGCACAAACGAAATTTACAATTGGTATGTTCCTTTACAGATAGAAATAAATATATTATTGTTACTAATTGTAAGCAGTGTTACATTTTAGAAGGACCATCTGTAGTATTCTTCTGATCCCAAAGCACACTGATATCAAGATAAGTCGATGCCGCTTGATGAAATAAGCAGTTACGGTCTTCCAAAATTCCGTGCGACAATGAAAATTTCATTAGCATCATATCTCAGTTTGGGAAAGTCTAACCATGAACTTCATCAAAATGCACATAATCACTGCAAAATTCAGCCGCTTTTCTCATTCACCGTATGATTTCACTCATCACGGATGAAAATAATAATGCTTAAGCTGCCCAGAACAGATGTCTAACTTATGTATGTGGACTTATTTTCTATTCAAAGCTATATCTTCAAAGAGGGGAACAGACAATTGGTATCTAACTACCGGCCAGTAAGTGTGCCATGTATTATAGGAAAGGCGTTGGAAACAATTATAAGGGATCGGCTGTTAGTTCATGTGGAAAAACATGGATTGCTCGCGGTGGAACAGCATTGATTCCGATCAGGACGATCCTGCCTGAAAAACCTACTATTGGTTAAGGAAGACTGGGTTGAGGCCAGAGGTAAAAATCTGTCGGACGTGGTTTTTAAGATCTTGGTAAGGCATTCGATAAAGTATCCCATTTAGGTCTCCTTAAGAAACTAAAAGGATTCGGAATAAACGAATGCCTATGTGAGTGGTTTAGGGATTACCTAATGGATAGAAGGCATAAGGTTAGAGATAACGGTTACTATCAAGGTTGAAAGCAGTATCCAGTGGAGTGACTCAGGGAACTGTATTAGACCTCTTGCTATTCCTATTATACGCTAGTGAACTACCGGGGATTCTTACTTCATCTTCATTATTATTTGCGGACGACATCAAGATCTGGAAAGGTGTAAATAATAACGATGATAGGTCGGCCCTACAAAGTGATCTTGATAAATTAGCTGAGTAGTCGGACCCATGGAGTTTGGGAATTAACTCTAGGAAAAGCGCGACAATGCAGTTAGGTCAGAAGTCTTATACGTCGTACTCCTAGGGGACACAGAAATACCTGATATTAACGGACAGAAGGACATAGGAATCATTGTCAGCAACGACTTGAAAACAACTGTGAATTGCGATACACCCACAGCTAAGGCTTTTCGAATGCTGTGGGCACTCCGAAGAGCTTTCAAATGATTAGATGAGTCTATGTTCAAAGTAATCTACGCAACATATGTCAGGCCTCATCTAGAATACTGCATAGAAGCTGCTAGTCTATGCTTCAAGAAGGAGGGACATATCTTAGAAAGAGTACAAAGAGTAGGAACCAAATAAATTAGTGGTATCTCACACCTTCCTATGACAAAAGGTTGGAGAATTAAAATCTCTTCCCGTTATCATACCGAAGAAAGAGAGGCGACTTAATTTTAGCATACCGTATACTTAAGGGTGATTTAAGAACTGATCTTTCTAACCTTTCTGCCCTCCTAGGATACATTTACGGGATCACCGCAAAAAGGTGCTCAGACAGAGGACGATTAAAATACATGCGGAATTTAGATTCTCTCACAGAGTGGTCAACGACTGGAACTCTTTACCTGATTCAGTAGTATCAGCTCCATCGGTGAAAGCTTTCAAAGAGAAGTTAGATCTCTGCAGAGGTATATTTTGCAAGGATTAACACAGGCCACAAGAGCCTACTATCCTCATCGTCTGAATCTGAACTCCCACCACCGACTTATATTAAGTTGTAGAACTGTAGCTCCGTTCTAACCTATTTTGCATTGCAAATGCCGATATCTCCTCAACAATATTTTCATGACACAGCACTGTGAGCAAACCGCAGTCACAGGAATTAAAACCACCTGTCACTATGGACAATGAGTTGCCAAAAGAGGCGACAGCGAAATCAGTGAATTCATCAACAAACACGGATAGTTCCGAGGGCCTACAACAAGGAGTGACATGAATGTTCGTGATAAAAGTTAAGTTGTACCTTGACAGGTGTTTAGGTCGACATTTAACAGTCATATAGTCAATAATATCACTTGATAATTTAAAACAGACTACTGAGAATTAATAAAAGTAGCGAAACCACAACGTCGACTTTTCCTTGAACTTCGTCGGTCTTGTTCGTACATAGTGAAATTTTCATCATATGAATCGTATAGACAGGTTTCTTGAAGCGTTAATACACCTGTACTATGACAAACATTAGGACATAATAGAGCCCAGCTAGCATTGACTTCGGGTGCACTGCAGGGTGTTTGGAGCAGAGTGTAGATCACTGTCCCACGTTCTGCAATGCTCCCGAAGAAGATGCTAGCTATGAGGGTAACTCTAAAATATAGGAGCCCAAAAAGAAACTACCTCTAGCGACCAATCAAGTGTGTCGAAACTAGACAGGTGCAATTTGAAATCAATGTCTATATACAAGTAGTGCGATGTTACCCAATCCTACAAATATGGGGATAATCGTGTTAAAAATGGGACATTCCATTGAGAGAATAAGGGGACAAAATTCGGAAATGCGATGGTTGTCCCCTTTACCCAGACACCGCACATTGTCCCCTTTTTAGACACATTGCCCCCTTTGTTTTCATATGATTTCCTCCTAATCAGCAGATTGTCCCCCTTTCACTCGCATCAGTTTTCACTTATTCTTTTAACATCAAACAACTCAGAATTGAGATATAATTTGGGTTTGGAAATAAATATATTTAATTTGTTTATTGGTTAAAGGAAAAAAGTTAACAACTATTCGGAAAATGAATTCTTTAGGATTAATGAACATTTAGATTTACAAATGATACACACAATTAATTATAATATATTCTCATTTTTTACATGAGGGTCTTCAGTTTACAGGCTTCATCAATGGAGCACATCAAGAAATATAAAAATATTGTCTTCGCGTTAACAAAAAAACCCAAGTATGTTTAGGATGGATTACAAATACTTGGGAAAAAAATAAAGCTTGAAGTCATATGAAGTCTGAATGCAGCTTTACATGTGCTGCGTCATCAAGTAGATCCATTGAACTATCCTGAAAAGGAAAAAAATTAGTTAGTAAGGTAGTAATCAGCGGTGACACTTATACAGACATTTGACATAATAATAATGATATATTAAACGTGTTTATTTAGCTATAAAAACTTACTTAATTATTGAGTACAAATCAAATTATTCGTTTACATATAAGTACTCACACTGAAAGACCTTAAGTTTGAGTATTTTTACAGCATTCATTTAATTAAATTGTCACTTACAGCACAGATCCTCTGGTCAGTCTTCTTATTGTCAACAGCAACCTGTGAAAAATAAAACAGAATTTCGTTGATTGACATTCGTACAATGAAACGGTTTGTAGTATAGTAACCTTAATTTAACAAAAACTGTTTACTTACTCTTGGCCGGCTCCCCTTTTTTTCTACACGATCACGTACGCCGTGGAAGTATGCCTTAGTAGTGTCTTTCAAAATTTTTATTACTTCGTCCTCGGGCATCGTAGCAGAAGCGAACTTGCTGACAATGACGGCTGAAGGAAATATTTAAATAAAGCAAGCTTACACGTTATAACTTTATAGAAGTAGCACTTTGTGAGGACTAGCTTCTTCGGTGTTCCGCACGCTGTGAAGTGACTTGGTAGCTAAGGCTCCCGTATGTAATTCAGCATTCGTCTCAACGAAGACTGCGGATTGAACGACAAATTCCCAACCAGTTTCGTCATCTAAACGTAATCGAAGGTTAATTATAAACTTACGAATGAATCTCTGAATTTTGGGCTTTTCAATGACGCTTCCAGTTGGTTAAACTCTTCTTCAGTCGACAAGGGGAATTCTAGTTGACTATTGTCAATGGACGATTTCCCGGTTCCCGAAATGGTCACGTCGCCCGACCTATTTGATGAGACCAACTGCGTTAGCAGTTTATCAAAGGACTGCATTTTCTCTTTAAGGAGCTGTACTTCTCCTTTAAGGGACTGTAACTCAGAAACCACTTTATCATTGGAATCAGTGTTTTCCTTACTGCAAAGTAACCAGTGATTAAAAATGACATACGTAGTCTGCCTAATTGGCTGTGTGATTGGTGACGACGTCGCCATTGGCATTTGTGGACTGGAAGTGCTGAAGGAATAAGAATATGAAATGAATGCGTTACCTGGCTGTCGGGGCCATCAAAGTTTCCATGAAATTGGTGTTACGGTATTTAGATAGCTCACACACTTTCTGTGCCTCAACTGCTTCTAGTTCAGCTGAGTCATAAGCGTATGATGCGATGATGATGTGCTGAAAATTCCACACTGTACCACTAGACCCGTTTCTGGAATAAAGCAAATTATTATTATTATTAAGATCTTAGACTCCACTCTGTATTCTGTCATTAACCAATTAGGAGAATCTACGTTTGACGTTTGGCTTTCATCAAGGGCAATGTCTCCTCAAGATTACCTGAATTAGACAGGATATTGTGCATTCGTCTTACAGTCGACAAAGTACACTTGGCTTGTAAGAATGGCTACATAGGATAATATTCTCGCATATGTCCCAGGAGCCCTCATAGTCGGGTTAAACCAATTTCTGTACATAAAATCGTCAGAGTCCCTACTCCGTCCGGTGGGGAGTTTCGTTTTTGTCTGCTATAGTTTAGAGTCACCTCTGGGAACGTGCAATTAACTAATCTTGCTCGATAATGACCTACAATTTATGCTCATAATCACAGGAACAGTCGTCTGTTGCATTGATGGTACGTTTGAAGCCTCGCAGCAACCCACCATAATGCTTTTTCTGAAGTTTGACAGAAACTCGTGAATCATTTTAAATAATCGCGAGAGTAGACGATACGATTTGGACACATAATTGAAAAATTAAAACAAATCGAATCCGAGAAATCAGATGCACCAGGTATGATGGAAACTTTTCGTAGCCAAAGGTATAGGGAGACCTGAATCACACAGTAGAATTTCAGTCAGTTTCCAAAAATCACCGGTTTGGGGGCACAGTAATGATGCAAATGTGGGTCGAACAGTCCGTTATACGGTTATGAGGAATTTCCCATGCGAATTTCGAAACGCAGTCAAAATAACTCATTTACTCAAACGCCATCTGTAGACAGAGTTGTTATGGGTATTCGTTAGCCATTTGAGACCCGTAAATAGCGTTGACTCCTGGGGTACAGTAAATTAACACAAGTATTTGATGGAAGCATAAGTATGTATCAGCTGCCAAACAGCAACTGCTGATTAACTTTGCAACATCCACGGGAAATTACTTAATATCCGCTCTCAGAGTAGGCATGATTTTGTGAGGCCTTCACGCAGTGATTTACTTTATTAGCACCCTCAGTTTTTCAATATTCTAATGTCATGTCTAGGTTCCAGCGGTTACTTATACGTCAGTTTGTCTCTGAAGTTAGGTTTTGTGGACACTGTGAAGTGAAAATGCGGTGACATGTGAAAATACTAAGAAATGCGTGCGGAGACTTAGGGGATGTGAGCACTGGAATATTTTGAATCGTCTAACTTTTCAGGTAAAGGGTGAACGCCGTTCTTGTTCATTTTATTCCTTATTGAACGGACATCAACATATCATTGGGTTTGACTGTTGTCTACCCTGTTGTAAGCTTTGAGAAAACAATTTTATGAAGCTTTGACGAATATCTTCACTCTGGCCACTTATGAAAACATAATTAGTGCATGGAAGTAATCAAGTTCACTTCATTCATCGTGTTTGAGACACTCCAAAGTATGTGCAGCCTCACATAGAGTGAACGGTATGCCAAGAAACGAAAGAAGACAAAAAAGGTGTGATGGTAGTTAGGTCAAGATCCTTACCAAGATAGAATGATGCACACTTATGTCAAGTTCACTGAAAAAATACGTGTTTTTCAGAGATAAATTTCACTTGAAAATGTGGTGAATGAGTAACTATTTCGGGTTGTCTAGGCTTGTGGTTTTCAATAGTGGCTATGCTGGCCCATGTCGATACCATGGTTTGTGGGCATTACATGAAAAATGAAAGACCATGGGCGGTTGGATGGCCTTATCATTCTGATTTCAAGTTTCTATTTAGACTAGTCCCTGATGGCCCATGCTTTTGCTGAGGATGATTGCCGTGGTCTCGTTAGCACTGGTGGTTTATTTGTGGTTATTTGATGACAGACGTTGGCATCCAAACATGAACTGCACTATTTAGTCTTTAGACATTCAGAAATTAGCAGATGAATGGAGTGTCAGTAGGGTGGGTGTCTGTCATCCTAAATCCACTAACGAGTTTTTGCGACTTATTACCTGGTGCATTTGCATAATCAGTTGTAGCGGTTGATTCTGCATACAGCAACACGAGAAGGGAAGTTCACTCATTCATTTATAACCATAGAGATATTCTTTGTTCCAGTTTGTGATACCGGATAACTTTGGATGTGAGCGTGCATCTCTGTTTGCTTGGGATAAGGAAGAATTTAAAGGTAATGCAATTTGTATACTGGACGGTTTCTTACGAATAGTGGGAAATACTTCCCAAACGAAGCCTTTCATCTTGGACTATGCTTAGCCTATAGGTGTAAATAAAATTGTTTGCGCTGCAGTGAAATAAAACTTTTATCTAGTATTCTTGTGTTCTTGATATACTTGCAGGGGAGTACGGCATGCTCGACCGGTATTCCCTACGATATGAACTCGTTAGTATACGTAAGTATATTTCTGTGCGAGCACTATCGATTAATATAGGTGGTGACTTATAAGGACTTCAGTCAAGATTCAACATGTGCCTAAGGTTACGCGACTACGTCTCCTAGCCATAGGTGAATCTTCAGGGACCAGTGACAAAAAGACCTGACGTAGGTATTTGAAATGTAAGAACAGAACTTAGGCACTGTGGTGGAGTCTGATTTTGTATAAGACTAAGTGTATTCAAAAGTAGTGCATTACTATTATGTCACTTGAAGCGTGATGTCAATCCGCATGATTACGAGTGTTAAGGTATAACGCAAAATGAAGTACACATGAGACGAATAACTGAGTAAATGGAGCTGTATCAATCGTAGTACTATTTCATTTACATTGAATTATGCCAACAATTGCTTTCTCAGGCCGTTTTGATAGGTCAAGCCTCCATCTCACCAACATGTCAGATTTATTTTCGCTGAAAAAGAATAAGAAAAGCACGGCAGGCGGGTTGTTAAATGTATTTACTGAAAAATAATAACAAGCAGATGTCTGTACACGATTGTTTGTCGTGGCTATTTTGGGTGTGTTGAATTGCTGTGACCAGTTTGACTGACGCTATCAAACTCTTGCAAATAAGTGAACAAAGTGTATTTTTGAATCTGTTGTAGTTAAGAGAAAGTAGTACAAAAGCCAAGCACTTTATATTTGCCTACCTTTCCTGACAAAAGATTGAGTCCCCTTTCTCATTATGAGGTAATGACGGCATTCTTCCGTGGACTTCACTGTCACTTACTTTATTCCGCTTGTCAAAAACAGCATTAGGAAAGTGACGGATTATTGTTTTGCTGTCATTCTGAACTTTGAAAGATGGTCCACACATCTGAAATCTTGTAACTACGGAAACTGGAATAACGATTACTTCTATCTGTTCAGAGTATGTTTCTGACGCAGTTACTTATCGACAGTTCAAGGTATTCGCGGACCATCTGTAGTATTCTTCTGATCCCAAAGCACACTGATATCAAGATAAGTCGATGCCGCTTGATGAAATAAGCAGTTACGGTCTTCCAAAATTCCGTGTGACAATGAAAATTTCATTAGCATCATATCTCAGTTTGGGAAAGTCTAACCATGAACTTCATCAAAATGCACATAATCACTGCAAAATTCAGCCGCTTTTCTCATTCACCGTATGATTTCACTCATCACGGATGAAAATAATAATGCTTAAGCTGCCCAGAACAGATGTCTAACTTATGTATGTGGACTTATTTTCTATTCAAAGCTATATCTTCAAAGAGGGGAACAGACAATTGGTATCTAACTACCGGCCAGTAAGTGTGCCATGTATTATAGGAAAGGCGTTGGAAACAATTATAAGGGATCGGCTGTTAGTTCATGTGGAAAAACATGGATTGCTCGCGGTGGAACAGCATTGATTCCGATCAGGACGATCCTGCCTGAAAAACCTACTATTGGCTAAGGAAGACTGGGTTGAGGCCAGAGGTAAAAATCTGTCGGACGTGGTTTTTAAGATCTTGGTAAGGCATTCGATAAAGTATCCCATTTAGGTCTCCTTAAGAAACTAAAAGGATTCGGAATAAACGAATGCCTTGATGGTACGTTTGAAGCCTCGCAGCAACCCACCATAATGCTTTTTCTGAAGTTTGACAGAAACTCGTGAATCATTTTAAATAATCGCGAGAGTAGACGATACGATTTGGACACATAATTGAAAAATTAAAACAAATCGAATCCGAGAAATCAGATGCACCAGGTATGATGGAAACTTTTCGTAGCCAAAGGTATAGGGAGACCTGAATCACACAGTAGAATTTCAGTCAGTTTCCAAAAATCACCGGTTTGGGGGCACAGTAATGATGCAAATGTGGGTCGAACAGTCCGTTATACGGTTATGAGGAATTTCCCATGCGAATTTCGAAACGCAGTCAAAATAACTCATTTACTCAAACGCCATCTGTAGACAGAGTTGTTATGGGTATTCGTTAGCCATTTGAGACCCGTAAATAGCGTTGACTCCTGGGGTACAGTAAATTAACACAAGTATTTGATGGAAGCACAAGTATGTATCAGCTGCCAAACAGCAACTGCTGATTAACTTTGCAACATCCACGGGAAATTACTTAATATCCGCTCTCAGAGTAGGCATGATTTTGTGAGGCCTTCACGCAGTGATTTACTTTATTAGCACCCTCAGTTTTTCAATATTCTAATGTCATGTCTAGGTTCCAGCGGTTACTTATACGTCAGTTTGTCTCTGAAGTCAGGTTTTGTGGACACTGTGAAGTGAAAATGCGGTGACATGTGAAAATACTAAGAAATGCGTGCGGAGACTTAGGGGATGTGAGCACTGGAATATTTTGAATCGTCTAACTTTTCAGGTAAAGGGTGAACGCCGTTCTTGTTCATTTTATTCCTTATTGAACGGACATCAACATATCATTGGGTTTGACTGTTGTCTACCCTGTTGTAAGCTTTGAGAAAACAATTTTATGAAGCTTTGACGAATATCTTCACTCTGGCCACTTATGAAAACATAATTAGTGCATGGAAGTAATCAAGTTCACTTCATTCATCGTGTTTGAGACACTCCAAAGTATGTGCAGCCTCACATAGAGTGAACGGTATGCCAAGA